ACCCTAAACCAGAAACCCTAAACCGTTCAAGCCCGGAGGTCTTGCTCCAGAATCCTCCACCTCAACGCTAAACCCCAGAGCCTAAACGAGTAAAGGGACCACTGCACTTAAAAAAAAAAACCCTAAGCCCTAAACCCTAAAAAAAGCCCTAAACCCTAAATGCTCAAAGCTCCCGAAGTCTTGCAGGTGACGGAAGCCACGAGCCGGAGGCTGCAAAACAGCACGAACGGAACCGACTCGAACAGCCCCGTGGCGTTGCGGGTTGGGGTTTTGGGGTTTTGGGGTTTAGGAGTTTAGGGGTTTAGGGGTTTAGGGGTTTAGGGGTTTAGGGGTTTAGGGCTTGGAGGTTTAGGGGTTTAGGGTTTAGGGGTTCAGGGTTTGGAGGTTTAGGGGTTTAGGGTTTAGGGGTTTAGGGTTTAGGGTTCAGGGTTTAGGGGTCTAGGGTTTAGGGTTCAGGGTTTAGGGGTTCGGGTTTCAAGTTTAGCCTTGAGTTTAGCGACATGGGTCTAGGGTTAGGGTCTAGGGTTCAATTGGAACCGCAGGATGCTATCATGCTATCCCAGAATGAGTCGAGTGCTAGTTCATTTTCTTTTGGTTAGACACAACACACTATGCAATTATGCTAAGCCCTTAACCCTAAACCATTCTACTTAAACCATGGTGAAGCCTAAACGCGAAACCATCCTAAACCCTCAACCCTAAACCATCCCCCAAAAAGGCCCTTCAAAACAAAGATTCCATCCCAAACCCTAAACTATCCTGAACCCTTTACCCTTCTACAACCTTATAGAGGCTCCATCAAGTTCAACTACGAGATCACTGAGCTCCCCGTCACGGCTCCCCGGATTCTGTTCGGGGGTCGGGCGTTAGGGAAGAAGTTTTCTTGTCCCCAATATTACAGGGCCTAAATAATTACCAATACTATTTTGGGAGGTTATATTTCATGTATGAAGGCCCCTACACGAAGCACTCAACCCTCAGCCTCTTAATTTCGGAACATGATTCAGAAACGATGGGTCTTTTCTAGGGTTCTTCACATATGGGTAGGTCTCTAAATTAGGGTCCCTTTTTGGGTCCCCCAAGTAGTACGGCACCCTTAAAGGGGACCCTAATTTAGCAAATTACCCATATGCATCCGAATATTTTTGGGGTTCTAGGGGCCGGGGTTTCTTAATCAGGTTCCTGCATTAAGCTCTCTCAACCCTGAATGGTAGGATCCGTTCCGATGCCAAGAGGTGTTGGAGTTTAGGGTTTAGGGTTGCGGAGGTGTTTATGGAAAAAACCCTAAACCCTAAACCCCTGCACCCCAAACCCCTAGCCCTGAGCCCGTAACACCTGTCAAGCCTAACGGTCAAGTCTGTGTTGGGGTCACCTCTGAACCCTAAGCTCTAAACCCCTAAGCCCCTAAACCCTAGACCCTAAACCCTAAACCCCCCAAATGCTCGGGTCTTAGACCCTAGACTCTAACTCCTGAACCCCAAACCCTAAACTCCAAATCCCTAAACCCTCAACTTTCGGGCCCTAAACCTCCAAATCCTAGCCCCGAGCCCTAGGACCCTTAACCCCAAACCCTTGGACCCTAAATCCCTAAACCCCAGGACCCCAAATCCCTAAACTCTAAACTCTACGACTGTAAGGTTTCCCCCAAGACCCAGCGCAAGAGCCAGAACCGATGGGAATCCCTTGACACAGATAGACTTTCCGATTCTAGCAGGTTTTTTTTTCAGTTATGGGTTTAGGGAGCTGTGCAGACTTTCCGATTCTAGTGGGTTTTTTTCAGTTATGGGTTTAGGGAACTGTGCAGACTTTCCGGTTCTAGCAGGTTTTTTTTTCGTTATGGGTTTAGGGAACTGTGCAGACTTTCCGATTCTAGTAGGGTTTAGGGTTAAGGGTTTGGGGAACTGTGCAGTGCAGACTTTCCGATTCAAGTGGGCTTCGTGGTAGTGGTAGTGGCAATGGTCGTGGTGGTCATTAGGGGGATCGTCCTGCTCGTCGCCGGAGGTGTTTCCAGAGCGTGTGGTGCAGCAGTCGGCTGTCTTGATCTCGAGAATCAACATTGGGCTGAGAGCTGCGAACATCAGTGTGCAGTGACGGGACTGGATTTAGCATGTTTCGCTTTTGACCTCGTGCCAGCTGTCTGCTTATTTCTTCACAGCAACCCAGGTCAGCAGCGTTCCAAGCGCCACAGACCATCACCAGAGAAAGGCTGCAAGAGATCAAGTGTGGAGGAGATGGCGATGGTGGAGGCGGTTGTTACGGCGGCGGCGGCGGGTATGGTGGCGACGACGGTGGCTTTGATGGTGACGACGGTGGCTTCGGTGGTGACGACGGTGGCTTCGATGGTGACGACGGTGGCTTCGGTGGTGACGACGGCGACGCTGGTGACGACAACGGAGATCAAGACGGTGGTGACGGCAATGGTGACGACAGTGGCAACCAGGACGGTGGCGACGACAACGGTGACGGCGGCAACGGTGACGGCATCGGTGACGGCATCGGTGACGACGGCGGCAACCAAGACGGTGACGGTAACGGCGATGACGGTGGAAACCAGGACGGTGGTGACGACAACGGTGACGGCGGCAACGGTGACGGCATCGGTGACGGCATCGGTGACGACGGCGGCAACCAAGACGGTGACGGTAACGGCGAAGACGGTGGAAACCAGGACGGTGGTGACGACAGCGGCAGCCAGGACGGAGGTGACAACACTGGTGACGACGGCGGCGACCAGGACGGGGGTGACAACAGCACTGACGACAGTGAAGGCAACCAGGGCGGAGGTGACAACACTGGTGACGACAGCGGCGACCAGGACGGGGGTGACAACAGCACTGACGACAGCGGCGACCCGGACGGAGGTGACAACAACACTGACGACAGTGAAGGCAACCAGGACGGAGGTGACAACAC